AAATTCCCTGAATGGTTAAGGAAATTAAATTACATCTAGAGAAATTGTTCTTAACTGGTATTTAAGCTTCAGTTTATCCACAACTTTCATGAGAAAACCAAATACATACAGTGCAGTTGGACTGCAGACAGAGCTAAACTGATGAACTGAGTGAGAGCTAAGTAGCCTTTCTAATGCAAGTTAAAGAGGCCTAACCTAGCTTCTGCAAACAAAGGTCTTCTTATTAACTAAGTTCATGTAATGCAGTTGCAATTCCTGTATCCTTATCTGGTCAACTTCATGTATATACAGGAAACACTGAAAATAATGCTGACCTGTCATATATTGCAACGTGATAAAATGTGATCCTGAAACAGGAACATTTTCAGGGAACTAGGTAACTGATTAAATGATGGGTTTCACTCTTGATATATAGCATATCATATACCAAGTACATGGCTGAACAGATGCCCTCATGAAATGTCTCCACTTTTAAAGTGACTTCAGAATACAGTTATCTAGTCGTCAGACTCATCTAGTTACGTTGTAAGAGCAAAGTAATAATTCTGCCAGCCAACAGCCAGATAGCCATTCTCCTTCAGTAGATCAGTTAGTTCCTACTTGCAGAGATGTGTCAAGTCAGGCATAGAGAGTACCTCTGCAAACCTGCACAATGCACTGACTTCAGGAACAATACTTGAGTGATCAAGACAGGTTTCTTTCCCTTATTATAAACCTGCTCCATTCAAGTTAAAGCAGAAATTGAATCAGAATTACAAAACAAAATTCTGTTTATTATTTTAAATATGAGATGTTCATGTGCATCACATACACTCAACTATCATTCACAAACCCTGATTTATGTATCATATGCCTAGACATCTTTATAAAACTTACTGGTTGCTTCATGAACGAATGTAAGTGTGCATGCTCATAAGGAAGTTATGTACGTGTCTTTGAAAATAAGATTTCTGCTGCCTTTTCAAACATCCATACATTATTAATTTTCATTTAAAAGCTGGAATAATTAAAATGGTTTAAATTAATTTTGGAAAATTCTAACTCAGCTTTAGAGTAACAGTGAAACCCCATTACTGTCAAAACTCTCATAAAAAAAACATTTTACATGCAGCCCATGACCACAGATAAGAATTAAAACTCTTACAGAAAAATAAGAAGTTTGCCACCATACATCATGCATAACAGCGAGTTCTTGAGCCAAAATAAACAACACAGGCTAGAAAGCCCATGAATATTCTGAAAGGCAAACACAGAGAATGCTTAAGGCTTTTTTAAAACTCACTTCATTCTGCCTGTAATGTTCTCCTTCTGAGAGTCTTATCTGTGAAGTCTAGCTGATAATGGAAAAAAATGTCATCACCCACTGGATTATTCCGTTTCTTGTGGTTTTGGACTGCATTGTACTGTGATTGCCTAAGATTTAATGCTTATTTTATTGACTCACTAATATGACAAATCTTTTCTGTAAATTCAAAGAAACAAACACATCAATCCTTCAGTTTGCCTTCCCCCCACTCCCCCTTAGAATTTATAGCCACCTGCCTCTAGTCTGATATTACCATTTACTTATTACCAATAGGACAAAAGTCTAGCCTCACCAGAAAGGGACTGAAATGAAGCCAGATCCAGTCCAGTCCATTTGTAGTCATCTGAACAACTGAGTGTAAAAATCCATGGCTTTCCCATCCGAGCAAGAAATGGGCAACCCATCTCTTTACACTGTGATTCTACATTACAACAACCTCCAAATTTTTTTCAGTCATACACACCACAGCACTTCATGCACAAGGAAAGAGAGAAAAAATGTCAGCATTCAAAAATCCCATAGTTCCTGGATCAGACAATATTTCCGCTGTGTTATGTAAACAAACAGCCAGTCTGAACATAGGTTTGTTATATGTACAACAAATTGGTACATGAGACTAATTTGCCACTTTGTTCAGCAGACTTTAGCTATCACGCATGACCAATGACAAGAAAGAAAACATCTGCAGCAACAATATATGTTAAATAAGCATACAAAGCTGGGATAATAAGCAAAATTGAAAGGCAGATCAAGCACCACACCAGCATATATAAAACAATCTGATCAACTAAATTGACCAGGCAAGGCAAAATGTCATTACCAGGTGGAGATACAGAGCAACAAAAAATCCACATGGGACTGCACACAGCTGTAGAAGCTAGGTCTCTCTCAAACAGAAAAAAAATGGATTCTTTTGGTATCAGTGAGTTCAGTGATGGCAGCTGAGTAACTGAATGCCTACCAGAGGGAGCAACAACACCTTAATGATCAGTCCCAAAGTCATGTTCTTACCTCCTCGGCACTCACTGAACTCCAGGTGATCACAGAATCACAGAATCATAGAATGGTTCGGGTTGGAAGGGATCTTAAAGACCATCTAGTTCCAACCCCCCTGCCATGGGCAGGGACACCTTCCACTAGACCAGGTTGCTCAAAGCCTCATCCAGCCTGGCCTTGAACACTTCCAGGGATGAGGCATCCACAGCTTCTCTGGGCAACCAGGGCCCAGAGAACCAGGACACGGGGCCTCATCACCCTCTCCATGAAGAACTTCTTCCTGACATCCAATCTAAACCTCCCTGCTTTCAATTTAAACCCATTCCCCCTTGTCCTGTCACTACAGGCTCTTGTAAAAAGTCCCCCCCATCTTCCTTGTAGCCCCTTCAGGTACTGGAAGGTGCAATAAGGTCTCCCCGGAGCCTTCTCTTCTCCAGGCTGAACAAGCCCAACTCTCTCAGCCTGTCCCCATAGCAGAGGGGCTCCAGCCCTCTGAGCATCTTCGTGGCCTCCTCTGGACTCACTCCAACCGGTCTATATCCTTCTGAGGTTGGGGGCTCCACAGCTGGATGCAGTTCTGCAGGTGGGGTCTCATGAGTGATCTGCAGGCTGACAAGCTTTTGAGTGACCTTACCCCAGGCATAGCACAGGCCTCACTACAGAAGCAACAATAAGAACAAAGTGTTTAGTTCTCTTTTTTGATTTTCTAATGCTGTTCAACAGGTGGAAACAAACAAAAAAAGAGGGTGGCCTAGGTGGTGATGCTGCCCATGCTGTATAGAAAGACAGCAAAGGCTGTAAAAATGGCAAAACTAAACACCATTCCTCTACACAGAAGGGTCTACTAGTACTACTGTGGCAGAGGCAACTTTAAAACCTTTGACATGGTAATCAGGTGTGAATTTAAAACTTAAAAGAATCTGACAATTTTCATCATACATAAATACATTTCAAATGCAGTCGAAAACATAATTCTGCAACATTGTAATAGTTGACTGACACTTTTAATATTGCAGCTGGAAAGGATCTTCTAGACATTGAGCATACCTGACTTTAAAGCTCAAGAAATCTCAAAGCTGACGGCATCTAAATTGCAACCAGACTTTAATCAGCACATTAATGAACACTTCCATGATATAAACAACAAGTAAAGTACCACAGAACTTTGCTAATTTTCACATCAATTATCTACAAACCAAAGCCTTATGATAAAGAAACCAGAGTGTCCTTTTCCAACTTCTCAGCAAGAGATTTATTAACAGCACACAGTAGCAAGACGTCGTATTACCAAGACATTTACCACATACTGTACAAGCCACTTAGTATAATATTATGAAGTAATTAATAACACCTGCACACGAAGAAGAAAGCATGTTTGTCTAGTTTCTAAAACAAGAAAATGTAACAAATCAGGGAGATGGGATGAAACCATTTCATTAGCAGAGAAAATTAGGATATGTTTTATTAACAAAATTCAAAGGCCTGCACACCCAAAAATTTCTCTTGACATTAAAAGGAGCTAAAAGGGTCATATAGTTCACAGGAGAAAAAGTTCACATATGTGAAAAGCTGAATTCCTCTTCTATTTCTATTCTACCTATTAGCCTCTCAGAAAGTTCTGAGAATGAAATAAACCATCTTCATCAGTGGGTTGTTTTAGCTTATTATTACTATTAAGTCTTGCCCTTTTAAATACATGAGCATTTGCAGAGATACTGAAAACAAGAGCCACCCATTGGATCTTTCACATATTTTGCAGAATATAGTCCATGCTCACCAAGAGGGTCATTCACCTGGGATTCTCTATTCATGCCTAGGAAAAGGCTGTGCTGTCATCTTCATTAAAAACCTATGTCCTGCACTGGTTCACTTTGAGAAAGGTATATTGAGAGGGAAGACGCACTAAAAGAAAACATGTTTCCCATATGCAAATTCCACATACTGAAAATTTCAACACTCATCCTCTGTTCCTCGTTCACAGATGAGGAGAAATCTCCTCAAATAGTGGATGAAACCTTTCACCAGTGGTCCCAGGACCAGTTACAGGCAGCAAAGGTTTATACAAAAAAAAAAGCTTTATGGTTACATAATTTTTCCACTGTCTACAGATCCATAAAAGCTAACTGAAAACAACATGCTTCAAAATGCTACAGAGCTAAGCTTGTTATGGCTCTTTTGCACAGCCTTTACAAGTGAACTCCACAAAATTCTATCTGTGTGAAGAACAGTAATTGAACTTGTCTCTGCTAGCAGGAAGTTCTCCTGAGTTTTCTTCCTATAGTCCTAGCACTAGACTTTGTATTTTTGAAGGAAAATACAGACTTCATTAACCATAAATAAAAAAAAAATATCAAGGAGGTAAAATTTTTTGTCTATTGAGCTTGGAAGAACTACTATTTTGTTTAACAAAGGCACGTTCATTTCACACAATTTTTTGTTATCTGTAATCAACGTTCTGTTTTCCTGCACTTAATTAATGGTCCATTCTTCAAGGATCAAGGAAAAAAGAAAAGCTTTATGTCAAGCTTGCAGAATTATTTCACATGGGGTGAAAGACCATGGAGTAGTTAATATCTCCATTGAAACCTTTCCTTTAGCAGGGCTGTTGTCGTTCTGATAGCTGTGTTGTAAAAAAACCACGTTTGCTCTTCCCGTCTCACAATAACTTAGCAGTAATTTTATGTTAAAAGAGTATTACCGCAGTTCGGGACCTTCATATCCAGCAAGGCAGTCCTCTTGTTGTTGTCATCCGTGCAATATAAATCCTGAGTTTCTGTGTAAAACTTGGTCTCTTGAAACTTCTTGATCCACATAATTTCACAGGAACACTTGAATGGATTGTCCACCAATATCCTATAGCAAAAAACGCCAACTTATTAGAATGCAGAATGCATCATGTATATAGAGAAAAAAAAAAGGGGGGGGATGAGGGAACTCCAAGCCCTCAACTGGGTGAAAGCAGAAGCTGAACCCTTTAGCTAAGAAAGAGAACCTTAGTAATTTAGTAACCTTAGTGCAAGGCAAGCTGCAAGTGGATAACGGTTTCCATGTAGAGAATGAAGCTCTCTTTGTACCAAGAATCCAGACTGTCATAGATCAGAGACATCACCCAGAGACCTCAACTACTATCTCCAATTTACTGGTGTAAAACAGGAGCACATGAAGAACTGTGTTTTCCATCAAACTCAGTTTTATTTCCTAAGAATCAAGCAGAGATCAAATTCCTCCCTTCTACACTTGACTCTGTGCTCAGCTACCTCAAAAAGATCATGCCAGAAATGGTTTACTACTTTGAGATGGTAAATACTTTATAGAGTCATGGATTACAGGCAAGCTCTAACAAACTCTAATCATAAAAAAGAATTTTACCTAACCTTCAAAATTTATCCGCTACAACCCTCTGGAAAACCTCACAGTAAAACCCTAAGTAATATCATGAAGAAACACTAACTGAAAAAATGGCCCTGAAACAGAAAACAAATCATCTCGCTATACAATACGCTGCATGGAATTTAAACCACAGGTTAGCAAATTTACCAAATTCTACTTTTAAAATTTAATAAAACTACACAAAAACGTAATGCAATAACATCCAAGTAAAATATGAACAGAAACATCTCAATATCTATGTAAGAAGTGACCCAGTGTTGTTTTTTCTCCTGCAGGCATAGATGAGATCTAATAAAGCATGTGCAAGTAACTGCTTAAGGCATCTCATTATAAGGAGAACAGTTTTCTTAACAAAATTTCACAGGTATTTTCGAGGTACAGAAACCAAACTCAAGTTGCTCACAGAACCTATTCTCATAAATGCCTCCTGAGGACATAAAGTGTGAAAATCATTAAAAACTCAGCTTATCAGAGTTGTAACCTCTTCCCCCAAAAGCCACGTTCATTTTTTTGAGGATTAACAGCTGCAGGGATCATTCTCCCAAGTCTCTGAACGAGCAATTTGTATTCACAGAAGTCATCTTCTAGACTTTTAACATCACTATAACAAGGACAAGAAATGCTTGTGCGAGACAGTATGGACATTAGGATCCCCTGAGTCAAAACTACCAGATGAATTTTCAAAACAGAAAGATTTACTTCCCATCTTCTGTTTCATTCTGTAACTTCCCTATAAAAGAGAGATTTCCTTTGACCAGTGGCTGAGCATTCCTGTTCTTACACTGTTTTATTTTGTGTTCCACCCACCAAGCGAGTTAGGCACATCATAGGTAGGATGCTGGATAGAGGCATGATGACTCTCCACATACACTTGTGTGAAAGAAAGAATCTGACCTAGTAAAAGCAAATTACACGTCTTTATCTTGTTTGCTGTAATTTCACAGCTGCAGCTACAGTTCTAAAAGAAGCAGTCTTTCAAAGCAGCATCTCCTTCTCTACATTACCTGGTGAATATCTCCTACTTCACCCTACCCTGAACTTTTCATCCCTTTGTGTTTTGATTTACAAGAGCGCTAACAACAGGACACTTGTTTGTCAGATTTAGAGGATGCTCCTGAGATGCTATTTATAGCATCATTCGCCTCTCGGTTTTCCTTTCCAGTACTCTTCTTTCTCTGCTCTTTCTGATTTTCCACCTATGTATTATCAACAGAACTGTTCAACTGATACTAATTTTATCACTGTTTTTCTTCCCTTAAGGCTCTGCTTCCCCTCCTCCCTTTCTTTCCCTCACTTCCCCCACATCTGTTTATCTCACTTGGTTGCAATCTCTGTTTGCATAACCTCAGTTCTTCTTTTTCTTTCCCAAACCCACAACACTCTCCCTCAATTCTGTATCCTCTCTCTCTCCCTCATCTTCTTCCCCTCTCACTTTTCTTCCATACCTCAAATACTACCCAGTTTAACCTTGACAGCATCCATTTTTCCCATGTCTGGCTCACACCCAGTATCCTTACCCTGCTCTACTACCATGACACTGAATGGTCACTGCTGAGCTCTGGTATTAACAACTCAAATATATTCTCTCCTAAGTCACATCAGCCAGTTGTTTTGCCTCTAAGCGCTACTTCCCTGCCATTTCCATAATTCCCATCACATATTTGTAACATTTGGTCCTCTCACTCTCTGTCCCAAATCCTTTATTACATCTTTCTGCCCAGGAGCAAACCAACTTCTTCAGAAAGATCAGCAACACTGATGTTGTTCACCTTCAAAATCTGTGTACGCACTCACTCCACCCACAGCCTAACAGAAGGTGTTCCCCTGAGACGGAGAGAGTAAAGAGTGGCTCACTTTGGGCTTTGGAATAAACCTGTTACCAGTAGCCGACAGACTCCAACAAACTGGGCGCAAAGCATGCCTTCAAAATTGCAGTAACTTCCTAAGCTAGTGCATACCCCCTCTTACATTTGTGCAGCCCAAGGAGGGGGGCAAAGGTGGCTCCATTTCTCCACTAACTGCTTAGAAAAACTAGAAGCCCAAGCTTCACACTCTGCACTGGGCAGAGTCCTGTATCTATTTTTTTTAGGTCACAGCAAGTACAAAATGCATAACCCACAGCCAAGTACAGACTATCAATGGCTTTTTGGCAGGGACTAGATACAGCATATGAAGAAACAGGGACTTCAGAACCAACAGAGCTATGCAGGGCCTACAGCAATGGGAGTGCTCTGCAACTAGCTAATCCCTCCATCCGAGCACTCATCGACTGCCAAGTTATGAAAGAAAATTCCAGTGAGCAATGTTCCCTGGGCTGTAAAGAAAGTGATTATACCAACTTAATTATTAACAAAACATACCTAAGGGGCATAACCTGTCTTTGTGGCACTGTAATTTGTCCTGTTCATTTCTCAGGCGCTGAAGTTCACCACAAGAGGTCAAGGATTTGCAAGGCTGGTGTTGCAATTCTTCTACTGCCATTTTGCAGTACCTCTCTGTTCTGAGCTCCGGGAGAGTGATCTCCCCCTCTCCTGCTGCCCCAGCCCTCCCAGACCTCCTTGCAGTCCCACATATTAGCAAACAATGCATAAGATGACCACAATTTTGGAACGTATACCAATGTGGAAATTCTACTTGATGGAACAGAGGATAAAAATGTAATACAGAAATACTCAACAAATATATGGTTACCAGTGCTTCATTACCAAATGATTATGTAAAGCATAACGCATCTCAAAGAATCTGAGAAATAAAACTATTCTTCAATATCCAGTCATAAGCATAGCAGCTGTAGGGCCAATATAAGAATATGAGAGAGGGTTCATTTGAAGATCTATAGAAGGCTGTATTTTCACTAGCTCAAATATTTCATACAAACACCAGCAGTTTTGTTTGAAATAATCTGACAATAAAGTATTTTAAAGCTAAAGGCAAGAGGCTACTTTGACCTCTACATTGTTTTAAGAGAGACACTTGACCTTCTTGAAGCCCTGGAATGAAAATCTATCTGTATTTCAGTGTCTAGCATTGCTGCTTTCTTTGGATCAGAATTTCATTCCTAACCATTGGTGGACCTCTACCTTCAACAGAACCAACTTCAAAGTCTCATTCTTCCATCCCAGACAAAAATAAAGCGTATTTTAAGAAATGACAACTTACAGATCAGACAAACCCAGATGGCGAAAAGGCTTCTTGGACAAACTTGAGAGCTTGTTTCTCGATAAATTGCTATGGGAAAAGAGAAAGATTACATTAATTAGAGCTGCTTCTTCTTACACTGAAAATACAGTTCGTGTCTCTTAAAAAGAATTAAGACCTCAAACCAGCTCTACAAAGCCCTTATTGTTTTGACTTCATTTCTAAAGAAATGGTGCTCACTGTATGGTTTGATGGGTTTCAAAGGTTTAAATCCAGTCTTTATTTAAAGTCAAAATCAAAATCAGCAGGGGTCAATATTTTCATTTTTAGCACTTCTGTTCATTGCAAAAAAGCACCAGATTTAATTGTGTTTCAAAAGTATTTTGTAAAGTCCAGGTGTTAATTACATGCTCAATTTATTCATAAGTGAAATGGGTGTATCCCTTTCTCTGATGCTGCACCACACTCTGTACTCACGTAAGCTCTCCTCGCATGCTAGCACATATCCACATCAGAGCCTTTTAGTTATTCTTTTCAAATTGCATGTACAATATGCACCCACATGGAAGATCAAAAGGAAAACTGTAAAATGCCTGTATTGGGCTTTTTTATGTCAATTAAGCATTTACGGTTTCCAGTGGTAATTAAGTGAAAGGTCCTCTCTCATTATGCAGAGCGAAGAATCAGAAATACTCCTCCCCTTCCAGGCTTACAAAATTGCTTTCTCCACCCCAAAGCAAAATAATATTCCTCTTTTTCTACAGTCTTATCAGCCCACCAATTAAAGATAGTGAGAGCAGTAAACTGTGTAACAGCCAGCAGTACAGTGCAAATCAGTGTTGTGAGCCAAAATACCACAGTAGTTTTATGTGGCATTTTAAAGGCATCCTAGGGGCTCCATAGTTAAAGTCACATTGCATTTAAAACCACGGATTAAACCTCTTTTTTTTCCCCTGACTAGGGAACACCGTTCCTAGTTCAAGGACTAGGAAACTTCCAGTCCTTGATCTCCGAGTACAAGATAGTTTTCAGAGAAATGACAAGTTGGATCTTCTAAAAATGTTTAGAACATAATCTTTAAGGATTTTATGTGCTGTATTACCTCATTTATTCCTCCTGACAGTCTGAAGTTTACAAACTGACTAGTCCAAACGTATGAGAGCAAAACAGATGAGCTACTATCTCATTAGCCAGGTGAACTGGACTGCCCTAAGGCAGATGTTGGTAGAAACATCTCATGGATCCTGAGCTGATATATCAAAATTAAAGTACAATTTGCAGGTAGGACAGGGGTCATGTTTAAGTAAAAACTGCCGCTATGATTTTTTCCCTAATGTGTATAAGCCATATGTTGGGAGGTTGAAAGAAAGAAGCTGAATGCTCTTACAGACTTGGGCTTATGTCTCCAACACTGAGGCAATGGGAAGCATATCAAATCCCATCCCTCCTTGGGCAACTCTTCACTCATGATGCAGGAAACACCTCCAGTTCTGACACTGCAGCACATGCAGATGCCCCTGCAGTATTGCCAAATAGGGCGAGCACCTGCTTCTCTTACCGCTGCAGCAACTCAATCCTACCTTTCCCAAAAGACAAGCAAATAAACAGTGGGCTTTACCTGCAGACAGCTGCCCACACCACTAACTATTCTAGTGGGATGTAACATGCTCCAGGTCATGTGATGATCAGGTTTGACACAGCAGAGGACCCTGCTCTTCCATATCAGGAGGACTCCTTAATCATCAGACAATGGGTTCCTTGGGGAAATCTCTGTCCAGATGAAGCCATTTCATTTTGTGTGATCTTCCCTGGAACCCTAATGGGAGAACCAGACTGAAGCTCTGATTCGAGACCAGGGCAAATGAAAAGGGATTTCAAACTTTCTACAACCAACACCTTCTAAATATTAAAGTACCACAATACAAATATGAAAATGGGGCCACATCTTCTGTAAGAGCCCTAGACATTTGCTGAGATTTGGGTGGGGTTTTTTTCTTTTAAGAAAATAATACCTTGAGAATCAGATTTTCAAGAAGATCTTAAAAACATGAAGACTGACTCCAGGAGAGGGTTTGCTATTAGTAACCCAGCATGGACATTATAGCCCACCTACTTCACAGGCAGGACTCAAGTCCCATCTTTCCTAAGGATTTCCTCCTGGCTGCTTACGTGGTCTCCTTGCTCAACTTACTCAGTGTCATCAAACTTATCCCATCTCTTTGTGAGGTACTGAGCTGTCTCCTTCAGAGATATGAACTCTACCAGACAGCAGGCTGTGAAAACTATGTGCCATGACTATACCTTCTTGTCATTCAGCCTCAGGCCAGCCCTTTGTTTTGGAGTATTACTGCAAATCTTTAGGCCCTCACTTGTTTAGATTCATCAGCCAGACTTACTGCCCAAATGTCACCATGTACGTTACTTTCTGAACACCCTGTGCAGGTATCAATGACTCCATGTGAGCCAGTGGGAAAGTGGGACTAATAATTTAAGTAAAACTATCAAAAGAATAAAATGTCATTATTTTGTTTTTAACAACTCCAGTTTTGAAAAACTAAAAGCATACTGATAGCTTTAATTGTCTTTTCAGATTTTTGCCTGTTGTGCTTTATATGCACCAAGAAAAGAAAGTAAGAAAAGTAAAAAAAAAAATCCTGTGCCTATATTCCTATATTCTTGATCATGGATTGAGACATTAAGTGGTTCCAAGACTGTAGCTTTTCTTCCCCTGTAGTTCAGTGCTTTAAGGTTTTTCAAGCTGACAAGTATTCAATAGAAATTTTTCAGACTACTGTTACAGATATATCACCTTAAACGACACTTTGAGAGTAAATTTATGTTATATGTATTTTTCATAAACTGAACGCTTTATATTGATTATAGAGATGCCTGCTGCCATCTCCTTAATTCATGTTAAGTGAAAAAGTCACTACCAGGCTTATTACGGAGTAGTGTAAGACCACACTTCACCATGGAAAGAGAATAAAAATTAGTCCCCCAATTCAACTACACACAAAAAGATGATGGTGAGCACCTCAGAGAAGATCCATCTGGGGTTCTAAAGCCCTTTTTTCTAGAAGAAGTCTCGTGTACAGAGCCTAGCTCCAAAGCTATACCTAAGCAGAGAACTCAAATTCAGTCGAAAGCGTGCCCATATTTTATATACGAATATGAAGCTCACTTTAAACTTGCTAGCCCTAATTCAGCTAAAAGCAAACCTGTGGCAATGTGAGGAGTGCAAAAGCAGCCCAAGAAACTGCACAAATATTCACACAGCTAGCAACACAGGCACACCTCTACTCCCTAGAGAGCTCCTCGCAAGGGGAGGGAAGAAGGAAGAGGAGGGAACAGACTTAAGGAGAACTGGGGGGTAAGAAGTGAAGAAAGGGCCATTTTGCTGTGCTCAGTCTCCCTCCACAGGCAACTGCCTGCTCTGCCTATGGCTGGAGGCAGCCCTGTGTGCAAGCAAGGGAAAATCTGCAGCAAGGTCTCAAATGGTTTCATTTGGCTGCCTTACCTAAACCCAAACAATGTAGAGATACAAACACAGTGTAATACCTAGCTAGAGCTGTGTATATACTACACTCACAAATCTATGATTCAGCAATGCAATTATACACAGCCTGGCACATAACAACAGCTGTTTCTTAACATTTTTGGAAATATGCACTTGCTGTGAAATGTATTTTTATGTTTAAAGGTATTGACAGCACACCATGCATGTGTGTTACACAGGTCCACTAAAATTACTGTTAGCGGCAGATAAGCTTACAAATTATGTCCATGCTAAACTAGCACTATTTAATAGCTTGTTAAATGTGACTGTTGACTAATTTGAGTCTAAGGTCAGTGAGAATACCAAAATTAGATGAGCAAGGCTATTAATTACATTTAAGTAATACCTATTAGAGCATTTATTTTCCTGTTGTTTATGTTACTGCTCAAATCTTTTCATCATATGTAACTCTAGAAAGATATCTGGTCTACAGAAGTTTGGCCAAGAAAATAAGGTAAGGACAAAAAAAGAGTTTAAGGAAATGTGCATTAATAAGTTCCTTATAATCTGATATTCTTAAATGATTCACAAAATAAATATTATGTTCATATAATAAAGCTCCTTAACCACATCAAAAGATTTTTCACAGAAGAAAAAGAAAACTGTAATAGCATCACTAGCAAAATTAAAGCTTATACAGTTATATCAGTCTTCAGAAAAGTGTGTGGAGTTTTTGTTTTCTTTATGGGACAGTAAGAAACTGTTGTTTTTTTTTTTTAAAAAAAAAAAGAGCAGGAATTCGCAAAGACCTGTACACAGAGGTTAATATTGCAAAGTGAAATGATTTCAGCTCTTAATAGTTTTGACTGTCCCAACCACAACAAGGGCTGCACTTCACTGCCAGTCAACAGGAGTACTATTGCTGATGACAACAAGCAGTGACTCACTGGGGCTTTCAGAAACATTTTAGTGTGCATCAAGACTTCCCAGAGAAAACAAAACAAATGCATTTTTTGCAGGGATAACAGATCAGCCTCAGCAAAAAATGTCTCCATACTTAGTGCTTTGTCATGGGCATATAGAGCAGGTGCTGCCACTTAATATTTTCCATCTTATCTGGGCTTATCCTGTGTACCTAACATTACTAAATCCCCACCAAAAGAAAACACAGTAGAAGACTGGATAAGCTCCTGGTTCATAACTTAAGTATTCTGATTCAGGATTCCATATACATCAACCAAACAGATGTTAGTCAGCCTAATCTGTTTCTAACAAGCAGCTTCACGATCTGCTAGATCCTGCTTACCAACAGATAGGTCTTCTATGTTTCATTGCTCCAGCTGAAGCTTTTCCTGTGTCTGAAATATTCTAAAGACATTTTGTCCACACGGATTTTGTAGTGCGTAGAAGGTCATATATACACAACAATACTTTTCCCTTAAGTGGGAGCTCTAATAGGGCCTCCCTCTTCCGTCCCACGATCAGTTTTCAGAACACTTGCTTAAGTTTTGGTCAGAAGCAATCACTGGGGACACAGACACTTTGTGACTGTATGAACTCCACATTCATAAGGAAAGAGGCAAAAAAGCCTATCAAGAGGATCCCACCAATTGTTTCAGTTACCTTTTGCAGCGTCTACTTGCCCATACAGCTGGGAAGGTCTATTTACCTTGTCTCAAATGAAACAAATTATTTCTCAATCTGTAGTCATGGCCATGGAACAAACTGATTGCTCTTCTCATTATAACTGTTTTTTTCTCTTAAAGATCAGAAGATGTATGTTCCTTTTCAGTCTTCTGCATACTGGACTGAACATACTCAGCCTCTGAGTCTCCTGAAATTATTTGCTTTACAAGCTCCCTATAACTCTGTTGCTCTCCTCTGTAATATCTATTAAGATGGGTATTTTTCAGATTCTGTCCCAGTACAGCCACTACATCTTTCTCTGCAACTGTGCCTCTGAGCCAGCAAGTCCTTATTGCACATTTCCACAGACAGTGCATATGCACTTGGCTTTATGGAATTTCATCTTTTCCAAGTATAACTCACTGAGAGATTGTTACACAGGTAAACACATAAATTCACTCTAGGAGACACTTCCCTCATATCACCAACCGATTACATTAAAAGCTGTTTATCAATGACCGGATGAAGCAGTACCTAGGCCTCACAGGCTCACAAGGGCTGATGCACGTTCCTCCAGCGACGGTTACACATTAAGAACTGTAGTTACTGTTTGGGCAGATACAGACACTCACGTCCACTTCCTTACATTAACTGATTGCCATTCTTTGGAAAAAACTGGTGCAGAAAGTGATTCCATTTCATTAGCAATGCAATCAGCCCTGTGGTCAGTTCAACAGCTCTTCCGCATTACACGGAAGTACCTTACAAGCCCAAGGCTTGGCCTTATGCCTTCCCAATCTCATCAGGACTTTAACAAAAGCAAGGGGTTAAGTTAAATGCTGAACATACCTAATGAAGAGGGATGGACTGAAACACACACTTGTGTGTGAATAGTTGGCAAAACGGGGTATCTGTGGGGAACTGAGCCTCTTACATGATCTCAATGTTCTGTAGGACTAGACCCACAGTTTCCCGTGTAAGTTGCAAAGCAACACTACACTCCTTCAGAGACATTTACTTACATTAAAAAGAAACTAAAAGTCTTTCATTTTAGCTGATCGTTTTTCTCTGTACATTTATAAAGAACTTTGATCAGTTCAGCCTTTGCTAAATCTAGAAAAACACAGTCAAAAAGCCGCACAGACACCAACTCCTCTTCCTGAAGTCCAAGAACCACAAATGGCGTTTGGGTGTGAAAGTAACCTTATTCTAATATACTGCTTTGGGTGCATTAGTTTCAGCTCTTGCGTGAGCTTCCGAAGTGAATGCTCTGGTCATGTCCACTTGCAGGACTGAAGGTCTCAGTCACGCCACAGGCTCTGGCCACGCAGGCTGGTCAAATGACTTTAGACGTGCTCCCTACCTGCACCTCCTGCACTGCAGCTACAAAGACACATTCAGCTCACTGAACCAGCCTAGAGTAAGTCAAGCCCCTGTCCCCAACTGTGATGCACAGTGTGGACATCATACCCTCAGCACCAACGCATTCAGCTGAGAGAGGCACTCTTTGTGCTGCAATACTCACCACAAAAGACACAGCCAGGGTCCACTGTTAGAGACAGGATAATGAACTGGACTGCCTTTTTACCATCCTATGTTCGGTTCTTATGATCTGCCAATTCACTGCTATTACACATGTCCTGTGTTCTCCCAGTTCCTTACTATACATATCTTATTTAGGGTCTACTAATGACAGAGACCATTATAAGTCCATCTTGTTAAAATATTTTATGTGAAGGAGATGGTAAAAGAGATAAATAAATTAATAATTAATTAAATTAACAAGTTAGGCATTTTTCACTTAGAAGGCATATGCTATCCCAACTCACATGTATTGTAGGTTGACGTTTTTCACAAATGCCTGACGGGACACAAATCTTAAGCCTGAATCCACCACGGTCCTGTGAAAATACAAAAAACTGTTAGAATATTATTTCATTTAAAATATAATTGAAAGTATAATAGTAATAATGGTTAAAATAAGAGTGTGGATGAAATCTCAACAAGGCTGAATCCCACGATCTTTAACCGTCTTCTATAACACAAAAAGTTAGGCCTCTGATGAGGTCTCTTTTTACTTCTATAAAAGAAGTAAAGAAAAAATAGCTTTATCAAATATACATCCCATATACTCACAGATTTTTAAGTCCAACATAAAATCCAACTTCATTGTCATTGATACTTTCTAATTTTCGCTGGTTTGCGATGTAACTGTTGAAAAAGCAAGACAGAAAAAACCATGAGAGAGTGGATCGTTCCATGGCTGTTCAGAGATCAACCACTGATGTCTGAAAGTCAGCAGTGATTGCTGACCTATTGCAATTAGCACTAAGATCTAGTCAGAGCATCTGCAATATGAAAGTGCTCCTTCAAATCTCCCCCATCATTTAAATGGGATACTTTGTGGGGCAGGACTGGAGGAGGGGAAATGAAGCGTTGTTCATAAAGGAAGCAAGTTACCCTTGAAGGCACAGTAAATAAAGCTGCGTTAAAGTGTCACTGTTTTCCAGGACTCACTTCTCTACCTCATGGATTTCACAACAGCAAAAGGGTGAACTTTAAATGTTGGCAGTGGAGTTACCGCCACCTATATGGAGAAGGGATTGGACTGCCCTAGTCTTTTCTCCCATATTGTTAACTTAATCACTCGTTGAACTGATTTACTCCCTGTCACAAAGTAGTCTCAGTTATATTTACAAGGTGTGACAAAAAGAAAACTGAGGAAAGGGAGGCTGCACTTCATGACATTGCATGCGCAAGGGGAAAGTAAGAGTCGGAAACCGGCACAGCAGATGAAAGCACTGGGTACACTCACATACCATGAATATCTGATTGAACCCCAACACCACGTGGGCATGCAAGCCGGTCCTTTGTTTTATCATCTATGAATAACCAGTGACATCCCACTGGCTAGAAGTTAAAATGTTCTACAGATAATGCATATGATGAAATGTAATCTGTTACCTCTTCTGCAGCAAGAAAAAAAGTGTCACGGTGCAAATAAGGCAGTCTAGGAAGAAGAATTTGGTGGAAGCTGCAATTCAGCTGACATTAAGGGCAGAAAAGTAAGCCTGACGTATGAGATGCCTTGCTAAAGAATCCATGCATTTCAAAAGATAACCCCAGTTCTAGAAAAACCTAAACAGAGACTGACCTATATTTTCATGAGCACTGAGCACTAACCAAAACTGTAGGACTCCCTAAAAAAGAAGGAGTCTTTCTTTGCTAGAATAAAACCTGTCTTCGTTTTAAGGTTTTTGTTTGTTTGTTTATTTAAATGGAATTCTGATGAATTGGAAAGAAGGTGCACTGCTTTCCCAAAAGCAACGCATTTCTCTCAACTGGTGTGTTAGAGAAATTCACTGCGTGCCCACATCTCAAGAGAAGCTTGAGGATCCTCCAAAGCTGCAAAGCTGACTTGGGCTATGCTCTTGCCAAGTACCAGGAGAAGCAAAAAGTTTCCCCTAATGGGATTCACTGTACCTTGGGAAAAAGAAGGGTAGTAAAAAGACAATGCATGATGCTACACAAAACACATTACTACAGCGTCATATGACACTGACTGCCCTGCAGGACTTCTTGGGATAAGATTGACATGGTGTACCCATTAATGGAGTCCTTCCCTATTTGGTGTTTCCTTCTTTGGATTTTTTAAGGCAGTGTGATTTAGTATCTTGGGCCTTATTAATCTTGTTGTTGTTGTTGTTTGCTGGTTGGTAAGTTTATATATTTTGCCAAGTAAAAGCAATGAGGTATTTTATAACACTACCACTTCTTCCACCTGAGTCCTGCAAGAGAATGATCACACTTCTTCTGAACTGGTCCTGAAGAAGAATTCATGATTTAACTAAGTATCACCTGCTCTGTCACTTGGACCTCGTTGTTCTAAAATGAAGTTATGCAAGAGCTATCAAAGATACTTTCCTCATCCTGCCCTCAGTGTTCAACCAGCAAGAATACTATCAAGACCAGACAGAGACAGGGAAAACACAGAAGTGCAAGAATCAAGGAAAATGAACAGAGAAACAGAGAGGGAGAAGAGAATCAGAAGAGTAAGAAAAAAAGAAACTGAGCAAGCAGTTGTATTAGCTGAAGATTAAGCCATCAAAAAAGCCTCTGACAAACGCTGCCAGAATGCAGATCCATCACTTAAACGCACTTATCACTCATCCAGATCTGACATTGCAATTTTAATCATAAGAACATTTAACCAGAACCTCCCACTATGAGAAGCCCCAGAACTTGACATAACTTACAGTGTCGTGCAGAAACACATTAGCGTATTACATCTTGTGGTAAGCCTCAGCCAGCGTAAAACAGCTCAGCTCTGCTGAAGTCAATGTAGCTACCACAATTTACATCAGACGAAGACCTGAGTGTGAGCACACAATCCGTACGAAAAGATCAGTGTTGGTCCATTAGGGAACAAACCAAAAGGATGGTATTTGGGAAGAAGAAGCAGCATGAATTTATATTCTCCTCTTTCCTTCTCATTGCATCCATTAAAAGTGAGGGGTGGATACTTTACTGTGAGTTGGTGCTAGTCTCTTTATGGTGAATGATTAATGATTCCAGCTCCTAACTGAGGGAACTGAAAGAAATCATAGAATCATAG